GGGATTGTCATGTAAAACAATCCTGTTTCTAATTTAAATTTAAAAAAGTTGAAAAAATATCCAAGGAAAGGCATACAGACCATCTACTATAAACATAGGTACCTATGCATGTAGTTATAAACTTTCTTAGCATAGATTTCTTGTTTGTACCTCAACTGAGCTCTTATTCTGAAGTTCCTTTTCATAGTAAACGGTCTGCTATCGTGTATCAGCACTTCTAAATGAAAAATGAAATTTGCCATACTGGAGACATGTCTTAAAAGAGGGTGGGGTGAAAAGCCCATTTTCTCAACTTCTATTTTAAATGATTTATACATTATTTTATACTTAACAGTTATGAAAATGAAAAAAGTGTCCTTTCATGCATCCAAAAGAAATGCAACTACTTTAGAATACAATGATTATAGCATTTTTATTGTCTTACTATTGTGATGATGACAATGGGATATTAGAGAATGGCCACAGAAACATTGTAGGTAACCAGGTGCCATGTGTCCTTCTAGGCAGTTTTCTCTACACGAATTAAAAATATTCTCACAATAAACCTATTGTACACAGTCACATTTACACATGCTAGGTATAAAATTGCATTTGTAGATAAGTAATCTGAGACAGAGACTCTTAGAAAACAGGGGCAGAGGTTTGTGTGTCTGTCTGTCTGTCTGTCTGTCTGTCTGTCTATCTATCTGCACCTACATGCTGTGTGTGTTACAACTCTGATGACAAAATAAATTTTGGCAACTTATGAAACAGTTACTACACACTGAAAATTAATGATTTTATTGTTATTGTTTTAAAGGCCTTATAAAAGCAAAGAAACATGATTTTCAAGTAGTCAATTGAAAATCATCATATATAATATATATACTTGCATTATGCACACACAAATATATCTAAGTTTTTTTTTCTTTCTGTGACATGATTGAAGATCTTGGAATAAGACTCTGAATAATTCGTCCAGAAAAGATAAGAACTCTAGAAATTTTTATACACATAAACCCATCTATATGTATAAGAAGCACACACATCTCTACTCTCTCCTTTCTTGGAACACAAGATGAACCCTCCCAGGCCATGGCCATTGTGAAGTGACTACACAGAAAGGTTGCCTCCAGTTTCTTACACTGTCTTCTGCTGCCTTGTGAGGCACAACTTTGAAGTCACCTAAATGGCCACTCTTTTTGCTGCAGAGTGCTTGTCTTTGTCTCCGTTTCTCTTTCAGTGCCTTTTCATTTATTCTTAACCCACTTTTCCAACTGATATTTTATAAATAAAAAGAAACCAGAGACTTCCTGTATTCTATCCTACAGAAGTAACTGTTCTGAAGTTGGTTTGGTTGTTTATTTGGGATTGTGTTTGTTTGATTTTTGTGACACAGGTTGTCTTGTATTCCAGGCTAGTCTCTGATCACTGAGTATTAACATGTGTCACCTTACCTGCTCTCTGTGATTCTGGGAAAGCACTCTCCTGACTGAACTACTTTACCAGCACAGAAGTAACCGCTGATAGATGCCCGGGACCGTCTATAATCATAAGTGCCATGTCGTGTTCCTAAGGCACCTTTGTTACAGTCATTTTTATCTTTCTGAGGCTCTTTTAGGACACATGTTCCTAAAAGCCATTCATTCTGAAACACTTCATTCTCAAGCTTCTTTGTTGAAAAATAAAAATACTAAAATGAGAGATTTAAGTCTGTATAACACGTTGCTCCCAGTTTGGCTTTCCCCCATCTCCTTCCCTTTTAAGCTTAAGATACTTATTCCAACCGCAGTGAGCAGACTTGGAAAACCCAGTTATATCAGTGCTTTGTGACTTTATGGTGGCTAACCGTCATTATGCTT